CTGACTGCCCTCCTAGTTCCCTTCCTCATACAGACAAAGCTAGATTACCAAGGAAAGTTAAAGGTCACAACAAGGACCCCTGTGATGGCCACTCTCCCATATTAACAGCAGTGAGTCTGGACACAGTGAAGAGTCACTCCTAATGTTACTCACCCAATAACAAACATTAATGTGACTAGAAACTTCACCAGGAGATAGAGAATCCTAGGAGATTGTGCAGTGTCACACCCTTTATTTTCCCTATGGAAGATAAAATTGAGCCCAAAATAGGTTGTAATTTGCACAAAACACCTAATTATCTCTGCTCCCATCCTAGGGTTTTTTGCAACAATAACCATATGGCATTCTCAGTAGCATAAGACATTTTACTTTGTTATTAAAGGATGAAGAGGAAGAAAGCTACTGTCTCTAATGACTATAGGCTTTGAAGAGTAATATGATACAAAGCAAATTAAATAAACAATTTTGGTTACACCTCAAATAGGTTTGGGGAAAACAATACAGATAAAACAAAAATTTTACTTTCACAATACTCATGATCTAGTAAGAGAACAAACCCAGACACAATCATATTCAATTGTGATAACAAAGATAGTAAATAGATGAACAAGCAAGAAACTCCATAAACAAAGTTGTGAAAATGACCAGTCCTGTCTCATGGATTAGAAAATGCTGTACATAAAAAACAGGCAAACTGATAGCTTCAATTTGAGAGAGAGGGAAAATTTTACAACATAGGGAAAAAAAGAAGAAAGGAGTATTTTACCCATTGCTAAGCATGCTAAGTGGGTACAAAGTAAAAAAGTAACATGTTTATGAAATGGTGAGCATGTTAATATATAAAGATCTGAGGGAGTGCTACTTAATTTTGCCAAAAAGAGGAAAAAAATCAAGAAACTTTTAAAAGTTACTTATCATTTGTATTTCTCTACTGTTAGAGGTCAAGTAGAATAGGGACTGAAAAAAAGAAATTGGAATCTGCTAGATAATACGTACACACAACCCCTGCAAAACACACATTTTAGCCAGAAACTTTTCTTCTATATTACTGAGAGAATTTTTCTGCATTTTAAAATTTTCTTATCATAATTATTAAATTATAAGGCAAGCAGTTGTTATAAAATGCAAAATGCTTATTAGTAAAATAAAAACTCTCTAAATTAAAATCCCACCTGTCATTCAAAGATGATCAGTGTTAGCATTTGAAATATAGCCTTCCATTTTTTAAACCCACAGTTATAAGCTTATGGAGGGCACAGTGTGTAATTTTCAAAAAAGAAAACATACTCTACCCTCTGCTACCCTTTTAAATTTCATACTGTATTTTCTCTTTTCTGGATCATCATTTCACATTTCTTTTGCTTACTGCCTTTTCTTTCTTAGTGTATTTTCACTCAAGAGTTTGTATATCTAAAGCATCAATTTTTTAATTTATGGTGCTTTTTTTCTTTTATGATATCCATGGCAGATTTTAATACTGTCATTGTGCTTTTAGATCTGTAGATATTTTTAAATTTATTAGTCAATTTCCTGCTCTCTAATCCATCTTTTCATTTTCTTATTCATCAGAACTTATATTTCATTGCAAACACAATGATATGTCTTGTATTTTTGTTTTTCTGAACATATCTTTGCAAAAGTATTTTTGCCTTAACGTAATTTCCTTATATAATGTTTCAGTTTTTAACTCCCCTCTTTGTTTGAATAGCTGGGAATAGTTATCAAAATGTTTGCTAGGAGAAATGTGGAAATGTACCCTTTATTCTATGTGATTCTTAACAGAATAGTTCTTTCCATCCAGCCATTCTGGTGGCCCTCTCGCCTTTATCTAGAGAAGATCTGCAATTCAAATCCTGGGGCTCTGTTTTTATCAGAGTTGAGGCTGGTGTCCTCTTGCCTCATTTCTTCATTTTGATTTTAGAATTTTCTATTTATTCTTATTAAATTTCTTCTTATTTCACTTAGTTTATTAAGTGTTTTGGTTTTGATTTTGCTGTCCAAATTATTAATTATTCCTCCCAGTTTCCTGCCATTTACAAATCTGCTACAAGTGATTTCTTTTTCAAAACTTTCTCTTTTGCATCTTTCTAGACAGGATTTGATGTCTGTGTTCTTGCAACTATGTGCATTTGAGGACAACCACTCTATCTTACTGAAAATCTACTCCCAGTACCTGACAAATCTACCATTTAGTGGCACTCAGTGCATTGTGCAATGAGTGGCTTCTAGTGGAGTCATCATCTCTCTATATAAGGCCAAAGGAGGCAAGGATGGAAATTGATTTTGGTGGAAAGGTTTTTCATATTAAATAATTTTGTGACCATTAATAGCATAATATCATCTAAAAAATAAAAGGAGCAAATGAAATTCTCATACATTTCTGGCAGAAGTGCAACATATAACAAATTCTTTAGAACACTGCTTTGCTGGGTCTAGTAAAGTTAAATAATTTGTTCCCTATTATGTAGCACTTTTACTTCTAGTTTCATACCCAGCTGATTTGAATACACCTATCCACCAAAAAGATGTGTAGGAGAATGTTTGCACCAGTTTTACTTATAATAGATACAAACTGAAAATAATTCAGTTTCAAAAGGCATAGCATATTCAGACAGTTAGTTGCATAGTACATATCAATGAAGACAATGACAAACCATGCAGGTAGCAACTGAGATGAACTCAGACAAAATTTAAGGTGCAAAACCACATATATTCTTTTTATATGGATTTCAAATACAGACAAAACTCTTACCTATGGGGGGGTTCAACAGACGAAAGACACTGGTGCTGGAAATGTTCTTGATCTAAATGATGAAAGCATGTGAAGATGTGTGTGAGTATATATGTAAAGCATCATCAAACTGTATACTGTTGATATGTGTGTTTTATTACATGCAAAGTAAACTTTAATTTAAATACTCAAAATGCAAAATAAAGACATTTCCAGGCAATGTGAAGAGGCATTTGTAGTTAGATAGAACTAGTAATGAATTTTGAAATCAGGATGAAGACCACAATACTGGTGATGATGAGAGTTAATAAATGAGTTGTTATCTAGGCAAAGTCTGGGTTTTTTGTGAGGGAGTAATAACTACTTCTTGTAGTTCAATGTGTCTCAGTCTTTAGCATACATACAAATCAAATGGAGATCTTGTAAAAAAGGTAGGCTCTAATTCTCCGGGTCTGGAATGAGGCCTAAAATTCTGTAAGCTTCTAGATAATCCTAGTTTGAGTAGAAGTAGGGAATAATGGGAAGGAATGGCATTATCAACAAGGAAAAGTTCTTGATCAAATCCATGTTTTAAATGGTCTTTCTGCTAGCAAGTCACAAAACAGATTACAAGAGAAGAAAATGACAGCTCCAAGAGACAGTGATGCACCCTGAATTACCAAAAGAAAATGGAAAGTGGGAAAAGACAAACATTTTGCATAATAATCAAAACAAAATTAGGGTTTCATTGAACTTGAGGTTTCTAACTTTAATGATCAGGTAGATAAATATGCTTCAATTTTAATCATTTTATCAGATCCTTTGGGCCCAAATTGAACTCAGAAAAGATGAATGTCATAAAAAATAGTATTTCCTGTCTGGATCACTCTAGCAGAGAATGAATCCAAGAGAAGTAGTATAATGGGTGGTTTAAGAATAGTTGTATCTAAGAGGAAAATACAAAATGAAAAGTTATACAAGTCAGCATTGCTACAGTAACAAATTAGCCCAAAGTCTCATTGGCTTTCAACAGCAAAGGTTTATTGTGCCTATGCCTGGCTCTACTGGTGCCTTTGATCCACCAATTTTCATTCCAGGACCTGGGATAGAGGAGGTAGGTTCTGTTGGGAGCAAGGGAGCCAGAGGAAATGTGCAATGGCTTTTAAGTTTCTGCTCAGTTGTAGCACACACCATGTCAGTGCCAGGACCCTTTTCTAAACCAAGTCACGTGAACATGCCTGGCGTTGATCAGGTGGGAACACACCCCTGTTCCAGAGGAGCCACTACAGGTCAAATGATTAGAGACTGGAAAATATAATCCCCTCCAGAAAGAGCAGACAAGCTGAAACACATAGCGCCATCCATCACAGAGATGTAACCAGGCAAAGAGCTTGAGCTCTTTGTGCCTCTGACCCCTCCTATTTCTGAAATTTTCATTTTTGAATTCAACAGTAAAATATCCTCTGCACAAAATCTTTCATTACAAGAGGCAAAATGAACAGATTTCAATTTCCTCTCTTAATGAGCACTTAAATGTTCAGAACTCTACAGGGGAGAAGAGGGGGAGAAGCCAGGGGGTATGAAAGAAAAGCCATTACTAGATAATCAGCCTTGAAGTAATCAAGAGTTGGCTGAATTCTCTCCTGATCTCTCCTGGATTCAGTAGGTGTCTTAAGAGAATGGTTGAGCTGTTACTGTATTCTATTCCTGTGTGCTCACATTATTCAAGTTTTTTGTGCACTGTTAATGAAAGAGTGAAATTTTCCAGTAGTGTTTTAAGGGTTTTTATGGAGTCTTTAATATGGAAAACAATCTGTATCTTAAAAGGAAATTAAATGTAGTTTATCCAGATAGCCCAAGAATTATTTTTTTGTTTGTTGGTTTGGTTTTTTTTGGTACTGAGGATTGAACTTGGGTCCTTGCGCTTTTGAGTCAGGCGGCAGAACCACTGAGCTAAATCCCCAGCCCAAGAATTATTTTTAAATTTCAAAATTCCAGGTTGTGTCCACTCATGTCCAATACACTGATAAGCTAAATACTAATTACAAGAATGAATAAAGAGATAGATTTTTTGCCAAATTATCTGGGTATTTCTCATAAAATAATTGATATATTTCAATTATTTTGAAAACTATATTATTGCCATCTGTTTCAGTTCAAAACTATTCTGTATCTCTTCATGCATGATTAAAAGTATGATTTTTTGAAGCTTTTGTTTTTTCAAACCAAGCATAAGGCTGTCATCATGTATTTTACATCCCTTTTATTTTTCAATCAATGCTCTTAACAGGGGAAGAGAATGATTCAACAAAGAATGAAATCAAAATCAAGACAGAATCTCAGAGCTCATATATGGAAACAGAAGGTATGGAAACCAGAATATATTGTTATCAGAAAAGTGAGATGAAACTGTGAACTGTGACTTCTGTATATAAAGTGTGTGTGTGGTGTGCATGTGTATAGAGACAATGATTCCTGGAGAGTTGCAATCATGTGCTGCTTTGTGAGCTTCCTGAAACTTGGAGCAATGAAAAAGAACTTTAACTTTCTATGCTGTTGTCACTGTTTTCTTAATGATTCCAACTAAAACATCCCAGAGTCTCCTTCTGTCTCATTCTATTTAGAGCCTTCATCAAACCAAGAAGATGCCACAATTGTGGAGCAACCAGAAGTGATTCCACTGACAGATGACCAAGACGAAAAAGAAGGTGCAAACGGTAAAACTGCTGTTAAATTAATCCATCAAGAACAGAGCATTTCATTGGATTCCTGCCTGGAATCCAACTATCAAAGTTATCCTCTTGCAATTGCAGTCTATAAAGGGGGAAATGAACATTTCTTTAACTCTGAACCTGATTTTGAAACTAGAATAAAATTTAGAAGCAGCAAAAGAGGAGTCTTGTAGCAATTTTTTCCTTTTCCAGTTAGAATGAAGATATTTCAATTATTCATTTAGGTTCAATTTAAAGCTTTAAAACTATAGCACTGAGAAAATCTACAAGAAACCAAAATTATGCAATAGAGGGGTAAAATTCACAGAAAATTTGAAATAGCTTTAAAACAAATAGACTAACTTTTTGTATTGATTTCATATTATTTCATATTATTTTCATATTATTTTCCTTCTATAAGGTCCTTGGAGCCATCAAGTTCTCAGAAACAGAAAGTAGATTGGGGGTTGGCAGGACAGGGTAAGAAGAGGTGGGGCACTGTTATTTGTTTATTTACTTATTTTAAGAAAAGATTTCATTGCGTAGTCCAGGCTTGCCTTGAACTCACTATGGAGCCCAGGCTGGCCTGGAACTCTTGGTGATCCTCCTGCCTCAGCCTTCCTAGTGCTAGGATTACAGACATGTACCACCACACCCAGCTGTATTTGATTTCATTGTTCCTTCCTTTGTATGCTCATAATTTAAAAAACAAGCTATATAAAATATGCTCATTATATGAACCTTCTAAATTGCAAGTTCATTTGCTAATATAGGCATACAATAATATTGAGTACTTTTTAATAATAAGTGAGATATAGTGATTTCTGAAGATATAGAAGGAATGAACACTGTAAATATTAGTGTTTCAGCAATAAGCCAATATATCAAAGTGAAGATAGACCTACTTTATAAAAATCTTTTTGGAAAATCTATCAAATAAACTTAGTATTCATTGAAGATCTTGAAGAATTCAATTTTCAATTATAAAGCAATCTCTTTTTAAAAGCTCATGAAATACTTTTTCTGTTACATTATATCATAAATCATACTGCTCTTAAATAGGTATTTGAAAATCAGTTACAGGGTAATAACTTGATAGACTTTGTTTATATAACACTGTGATCAATTTTGTTTCCAAATTAAAATGCAGACATGATCTCAATTGTTAAATCAGGTCAATAGCAACTACAGCTTCCAAATTATGAAAGCTTCTTGGCAGGAGCATTAACACAGTTTAATTGGTAAACTATGTTAGTGATTTTGACACTTTGTTTTAATTTCTAATCCATTTATAGTGCAGTATTCTTCCATATCTATGTCTCTACTAACTTTTTCTCTATTGCAAATCCTAGTTCAGCATCATAACACCATGTTCCTGGCTAGCAAATGAATTAGCCTATTTGAAGTATTTTATGTCTAACAATGATAATAGAGAATTGATACATCCTCTTTCAGATTCAGATACATGATATTTCTCCCTTCAATTTTACTCCTAAAATGAAAAATACACAATGTATGCCCCTTTGCTTACTTGTTCTACTGTAGGAACTATTTGCTTTGTATATTACATCTGAAGAAATGTAAATGAGTTAAAGAACATCAAACAACTGGTACATTTCCTTTTTTCTAGCTTGACCTATGAAAGAAAAGCTCACATTCAGCACACATATTCCTAGCATGAACATTCCTCTAATTACTGAAGAATTAAATATTTCTTTCGTCTCTCCCTTGTAGGTCTACCAATCTTCTTCCATAAATAGTGGGATGGCATGTGGGAAAGGTGCAAGGTCAAATTCTGCTACATGCTTGTAGCAACTTTGAAGTTGGATTTCTTTATTGAAATTTGACTTTTCATTAGAAGAGAGTAACACTGGTGGGCTTGAGTTAACCACATTTTTCCTTCCTGTCTTTATTGCAGATGCTTAACTTGACTCTTCCTTGAACATTTCTGGTGTTTAAATTTGATATAACTTTAAATCATCATCTTTGTCATCTTACGCTTTTCCTCAAAAAGTTAAGAGTCATTCAGTTATGCATAGGAAAAGTACTTGTCTTATTTTATTTTCTGTTGCTAGTAATACCACAGACTGGGAAAGTTACAAAGAGAAGAGATTATTCCAGCTCATGTTTGTAGAGGTGCAAGTACCAGGGCCCACATCTTTCCAGTAGAGTCGTGGGGCAACACAGGGCATCATGTGGTAAAGACCAGGAGTATGCATGCATATGTGTGTGCACATCTGCTCTCCCTCTCTTTTCTTATAAAACTACCAGGATTCAATTATGGAGCCTCCATCCTAATGACCTTATCTAATCCTAATCATCCACCAGAGTCCTGCCTCTGAACAACTTGTGGTAGGGTTGACTTTTCACCCATTTAATACCCCATAATGGGGATTTAATTTCAACACTTGAGGGACACTCAAATCATATCCCAATAATGCAGTAACCCAAAGCAGAAGGAGAAACATGTAGATTCACAATGGCCTCCATAGCTCTTCTCTACCAATGAAAGAAGGATTATTTAACATGTCTGCTTCAGGCTCTTCATCTGTAAGATGTTGGTGACAAAAAAAGTAGCTGTCACATACAGTCATGGGAAAAATTTAACCAGTAACTCATGTAAAGCGATGACAACAATACCTGTCACATAGAAAGCATTCTTTAACTACTTAGTATTTATCATAATTTGATGAGTAGATGAAAAAACCAAGAAAAGCTACATATTTGTTCACCAAGTTCCTCAATATCGTTTTTATTGTTGCTGTTGTTGTTGTTTTTGGTATAGGGAGTTGAACTCAAGACCTTGAGCTTGCGAGGCAGGCAGCAAAACCACTGAGCCAAATCCTCGACCCTTATTTATTTATTTATTTATTTATTTATTTATTTATTTTCATCAATGTCCTTTTAAACAGTTTTGAATCCATAGAAACCTTATTATTCTGCATTATCCTTCAACAACAAGTGGCCCCTACCATTTGATTGGTGGAACCACATAACACAGGCAGTTTCATTATGGCCACAAACTCTATATGTTATTGCTTATTTTATTCTATAAAAATAGAACATTAATGGAGGTTGGGGTGTGAGACATTTCTCTCACTTATAATAAGCTCCTTTTTCTTTGTCAAGGTCTCAATCTTCTGTTTGGGAAATAATGATAGAACCATCATTTCCATTTTTAAAGAAAGATGCCATGGAAGTATTGATAAATCCACAGAATAAAAGTAGTAAATAAATTCAAAGTAGTAGAATTTACTTTGCTTTCTTTTCATTCATGTAGTCATTAGTCTTGTTTGAAAACATTTAGAGGCTATAGCTCCAGGGTTTGTGTATACTCTCACAAAGTAGTTTTTTAATGAAAATTTGTGCATGGGTATTAATAATTGTCTATAAGCAGAAACAAATGAGTCTTCTGTTACATTTATAGAAATATTCTTTATAGCTCTAACAATATCAGCTCTTTTATTATGAAAATCTTCCTAAGTAGTCAGGAAGTGATTGCTTTAAAAATACCAGACCAGGAAAAAATGTATAACTTTTCTCTCTCATTTTGCTGAATTTTATAAGAGTAGAAAATGTAGATAATCTTCAAGACACATCTTCTATGACTCCCAAGTGTATGAGCACAGATGTTGCAACATTAAGTTTTAAAGTTATCTCTACCAAAATATGGATTTTGAAAAGAAAGAAAAATAGTCAGCAGAAGTTCATGCTGATAAAATTACACAATAGCACAATGAACATATCCCTGTGAGACCTAAAATACAAAAATTTCAATGGGCATGAAGCAAAGTTTCACATATGGCAGGTTTTCTCATATAGCCATATTGCCTTTTTCTAAATGAGTAGTCCAGCTTTATGCTTTCCCAGCAGGATCTTCAACAAGTATGAAATCCACTGGAATAACATCATTTAGGCTAATAACCAAACAATAAATAATTGTAGTAGTTCTCTAAAAAGGGCCTCATATTTTAGTATAACAGTTATATATAGTTAAGATTTTTTATTTTCAAAAGATTTTCTCATAAAATTTTTATTTCTACTTGAATTCAAAATCTAAGATTTTTCATAAGATTTTTGTTTCTACTCGAATTCAAACTATTTTACATAAAATCTCAACGATATCATTGTGTCATTATTGTATCACAAAATTTCCACTGGTGTTTTGTTATGAATTCATGTGAGACTTTTTTTCAACTGTTATATAGAATGTATACATTTGGTCCCAAATATTTTTCTTATTTGAATTAATAGGGATAATATGGAGTAGTAATACTTTATTTATCCAAGGTTGACCAAAATATATTACAGTCTAAGGTTTTCCTGGGAAAAAATGAATAGACAAACAGACAAGTAGATATTTAAGTCCAAGCCAGTGACAAGAATAAATTGTTACATGCTTAGGCTCATGTTTTGGCAATTGACCAGCATGTCCATGAGACAAAGTCTACAGAGAGCCATTGGCTTTTACCCCTGGCTGTGTGATGGCTGGCAATTCTTTAACTACTATTCTAAGATGACAATGAGGGGCATAAGCTCAATAATGCAATTAGAGATCCTCTAATTATTCATAATTTTGCTCAGACAGCCAGGTCTGAAAAATTATATTCTGGATGAAACAAGAGTGATAATGTGGGAGCTAATGTTCATCAATATAAGGAAAGCTAAAATCTTAGGTTTTCTCTAGTTTTTCTTATTGTATCCTATTGACCAAAATGCAAGAGCACAATAGACCAGGCAAAAGGATAGCCAGATTAACTATATTTTATATTAGGATTTACCAGTAATTGGACAGCTAATTATTCCTTGAAGATATTTTAAGGAGGGAAATACCTTTGAGCTTAAATTGTGTTTATGTACTAAATCCGCTCAGAACCAGGCTGGATTTCCATCATCATCTTTCTTATCCACATTGACAACATCTTTCCTTGTAGCTACTCTGGCCATTGGTTCATTTTTCAGTGAAGACATGGTAAGTGAGCTGCTTTCTCTTCCACTCCATCATA